TATATAAGTATTCGCGTGTGTTTGTATCAGTCGTAAGACGATACAGCGCCTCTAGTTCTCGATAGATAGTACCAGAGCCCGTTTGATAGATAAGTGTGAACACATTTATAAGTAAAAACTAAAAGAGATTGATTAATTATAAACGAATGCCTGTGTGTAATGTTGTACATTTGGTGTGGTCGTTAGGTTATTATTATTAATTTAGGGTTCTTAAAACGCAATGAAGCCCTAAATGCATCTTTATACATCCAGCAGCTGTCCATAAAGTTTTGGTCAAAAAGCACCGTGCGCTCGTCAATAGGAAATATGTTCTCATCTTTGACAATGCCAGGCTGCATACGGCCAAAACAATACAGGAAAAAACTTTTGGAAGTCGGTTGGTCAGTTTCACACGGCCCGCTATATTTACCTAACCTTGCATTAACCGATTTTTTCTCTGCAGAACGCTTTGATGAGGAAAACTCTTTCTAATGAGAACCAGATTCAAGAACTGTTTGTTTTTGTTTTTTGTTTTTTTTTTTTTAGTAGAGTTCACCTCATGCAAGTCATTAAAGATGCTAGAACACACCGGGTTACTGTGTGTGGAAATGTTAGAAACATTGCTAAGGAAAAGAGTAATCAGGAGTACAGTAGATAGCGATTGATATTACATTTAAATTTTTGAAGACTAAAGTTGGCTGGAAATCATGGAGCCGGAAGGGAGTTCCACAAACGAGAAGTGCGACAAAAACTGTTAGCATAGAATTTACGGCTACGTCTAGCCAACCCAACTGTAAATCGGTGTGACCTCGTCGTCAGTTTAGTACTGCGCTTAAATTTTTAAAAAAAGGGTGAGGCTATGCACCATAGCAAAGAGTTCATCCGAACAATTACCACGAAAGTATTTATAAAAAAAGCACAGGGAGGTAACCTTATGGCGATGGGAAAGTGACTGAAGCTAAGATGCCAGATCTGGGCCAATAATATTGCCGATCTTTTTTTTTTTTTTCTTAGATGTTATCAAGGAACTCTAGCGGAAGCACCAGACCATATGTTGCAGCAATATTCTAATCATGAACGAATAGTAGACGCTCTTCGAAAACTTTCAAAAACCTGTGTAATTTTACCCAAAAGACATCGAAGAGCTGTCTGTATATTATTATATTGTTATTGCAAATAAAGAAAGTTATTGCAAATAAAGAAATCAGAGTTAAAGTGAGAGGTTTCGTTACGTGAAGTTTTGAAGTTCCGAAGAATTTGTGATTTGAACTCTGTTTTCGACTTGAACTGGAATTTCGGGCCAAATCGGTCTTCTGGCCTGAATAACAGTTAAAGCGAGGTTTTAAAATTCCATAGTGTGATTCAAAGTAATTTATTCAAAATTATCATCGTTATTTTCTAAGCTGAAACAGAGGTCCCTTTAGTTTAAGGCTGCAGGCCCAATTAGCTCTACGCAGGTGCCAGCTTGGAATGCGGCTTTTAAGCTAGTTCTTAAATAAATTAAATACAGAAATTACTTATAACGCAATCTAGTCGTTACGTATAATGCCGATCACTTTTAAAGAGTGAATGTCTTCGTCTTAAAGCATTTTTCTATCTTGATTTAAAAATAAATTCTCAAAAATCTATTTACCTGGCACCTACCGCTGACAATGGCTAGAAATATGCAACTAAATTTGTAAAAGAAAATAAAAAAAAATTAGATATCCTATTTGAAGAAAATAAAACAGCTTGCCTTCTTGTTAGAACATCTGCAATTTCTTTAGTATTGATGTGTACAGTTTACTTAAAACAGCAATTTATTGGTGATCTAAACGGCTGATTGATGGTGTAAGTTGTTTCTTGTTTACCTAAGCGGCCGGCCTCAAGGGAGATTAGCATGTTTCATATTTGCTAGCCTGACTCAGTCTCTATGAATGCCTTGGCCTAGTTTATCCAGGTTCGTTATTTGACACAGTAATCCTCGGGGGCAAAAGAAGGATTGTGTAAGCCATGAGATGGCGAAACTGTGAATGACAAGGGATCAAGACAGACATAAATATAATATCGATGGCACCTGCGATGTCAGCGCAAAAGTTCTGTTAACAAATCTATCACTAATTTCTCACGTATCTGCTTCAAAGTGTCTTATCAACATCTCCGAGTTTTACAACCGGAAATGCCAAAGAAACTTAAATCGAGGTTACATGAAATGAATAGCATCTCCGTTTCGAAAGTTACTTTTTTTTTAACTAATGTTCATCTAATACAAGGCCCAAGGGTTACTCAAGGTAGATGGTTACTGTGTGGTGTTGTATTAGCGTAAGAATGGGCAAGATAGACAGGAAAGATAGACAGCTAATTCTAGACTTGAAGAGGCCAGGATTTAATTATCGAATAAAATTTCAGAGTTCAGGCGGAGACTTTAGGAGAATTGAGTTGAAATAGACGTTAATCCTAAATAGGAAACAAGAGATGAACCTATATACTATATTCCTGCTCAAAAGGCAGGGGAGGAGTCAAATCTATCTACTCCTAAATTTGTCCCCCAGTCATAAGTTAAATTTGGCTTAGTCCAGTATATAGCTGGATTGAGAACTGAAATTAGTAATAAAATAAAATATGTTAAACTGGATATATCCTGTCAGGGATGGAAATTAGCTTTACTGCTTGGAAAACAACGCCAACCGTTAATCATTTTGTGTTGAACTCATTCATAAATTCCAATTATTTCGGGGCAAACTAAAATAGAATTAAAGAAAAGAGCGCAGGTAGTAATTCAACTGATGTTAGTCTGGCACAAGGCAAAAAGTATTGAGAACTTATATGAATCAAACTTAATTCACTCGCAACGGTCTTTAATACGAGCTTAACTATCAAGTACAAATATTTACACTTTTACGTTTAAGTGCTATGTCCTTTTCAGGGTGTTTATGGCTCCCCACATCTTCCTTGTTCTAACTATCTCTTGTCCCCTTATTACTCCTCTGTCTCTGTGGTCCTTGTTTTGTCATCAATCGTTAAGTAGATAACTGTCCTCCTGCTTATCTTACTTCTGGATTAACTTGAAACAGATTTGAAATAATAGGATATCAAAAGATCGAACTCACTCTATAAGCAATAGAAATTTACTTCGGTATTTTCTGCAATGAAGTGTTGAGCTGATCATCCTTAGAGATATACACTGCTCCAAATAAAATACGATTTGATAGTGTGGTGGTTCCGAAAATAATATTATTGGTGAAGCTAGGAAAAGTTCACTTCATTCTAAGAATTAACCGTACAGAAAACTCAACGTCAGTAATTTAAACTCTATATTAGACATTAAACTTCTCTTTGAAACTCCCTCTAAATTAAGAAATGGGAAACCTTATGTAGAATGAAAGTGCTTAAATTCTCCCCATCCCTTTTTAAAATTTATATACCTTTACTGCTCCCTCAGCTTACAACCATATTACGTTGAATACACAGGTTCATGTTTGAGCATCAAAATTAAGCAGCGTCGAGGCAAATGAAACTTAGATAATTGACTGCCTGAGAATACCAGGTACTGTAAGTTGAAATTGGGTTGATGGCAGGCTTAAACTCAGAGGGCAGTCTATCGAATATTGAAAACTCTGGTTTCAAACCTTCACTGCCTTTGAAGCAAATGTCCAGTCTTGGGAAAGGCTTTTGGAGTAAGCCCTTAGGATAAATCCAGATTCAGATATCCTAAGGTACTTCATATCTGTAGTCAGTGACATCCTAGCAATTCCTACGTCGGTGCTGGGACCATGCGCATCGGCACTTGTTTTCCATTGGACCGACGTTGAGAGGAGGGACTTACTGTATGTTTTTCTCTCTTATCTATCTACCCAGCTTTTGTTCTTCACTGAAAAGACGGCAACAGTCTACCGACAACGGACGCTGCACTTGAAATTTCCTCCCGAGATTGGTGGATGCCAACTCCTTTTATTTGTTGAAACTAACGTGCACATTTCCGGTATAAAGGACAATTTGTAACCTAATAATTGTGGATGACTGGAATTTCAGAAGTTCAAGAGGAGACCTTATTAGTATAGTTGAAGTTGTTTGGCTCAATTGCAAATGACGGAAATGTCCGTCATTGATATAACTGAAATTCAATACGTTTTAATTGATTGTAATTCAGTCCTGTCTATAATATATAATTATTTTCCAAGTGGGAAAGATTCGGCTTGCCTTATAAATCAGAATTCGAAACCTGTTATTTGCTTGACTCAAACACCAACCACTGGTGCCAGTGATGGTCATGGGAATATTAACCATTTCCCTATAAAGAAACATTTGGCATTCATTGACCAAGCAACTGGTCCTACTTTCAGTTGATTATATCATCGTTTTCTTTTCGAGTTACATGTGATATCCATGTTAGGTGTTGAAAATTCACAAGTGGTGTAGACTGTTATTTGACACAGTTCTTTGTTTGTCATTCTTGTAGCGCCAGTCCACAATGTTAAAAGAAGGATGGTCCTCGCAAAGACTTACGAGTTTCATTCGCTGGAAACCATTGATCTTAAAAAGCGGTTGTATACAGCTGACAGTTTATGTATTTCTGAACGAGTTTGGCACCATCCATGACATCCATATGACGAGGCTGTTTAAGAACAAAACTCTAGTTTTTAGGTTAATGTTTTGGTTTTGTAGCAACTTGCGGTGATGGGCGAAACTATCTCTAGCGCAACGCATTCTATGCTCAATTACTTTTGTTCTATATTAAATTCGTTTGATAGATCTACGAGATACACCAACGAATTGCTTATAGTAAAAATTTGATCTTAATAGTAAGATTGTTACGTCAATCAAAGAAATGAAAAAGACTTGTCAGCTTTGAAAATTAGTTACCTGTTCCTCACTATCTCATCCAGGAGTTAATCTGATTGCGGATTTTGTTATCCCTCTACAATAATCCCAGGATTAAATTGGACAGAAAAAAAAACTTTTTATATTTGTCTGGGGTAGATAAAAATGTTATTCAGTTCCACCGGTTTATTGCTGTAGGCGTTAGAGCCTTCTCGCCGATCATGTTCGTTTCAGTGCAATGGAGGGATGCCACTTCCAAGAAGGCTGAATTTGCATGTCTTGCTTGAAAACGAAACAAGGCCAGTGGCGTATCTCTGAAACTTCAGACTGTCAACTAATAACTGATTGAACCAACTTCCACATAACGAGCTTGTCAAACGGAGGCGCTTTCATTATCATGAACACGCTCTCTTTTCATTAAGTTCTTGATACCCTTCTCTTACAGTTTCGTTTGACTTCAATAACGTAATCGTCATCATTTTCTCTCGCTAATTAATTTACAATGAAATAAATTAGTAACGGAAGTCAACATTTTAGTCTTTAAAGGTGTATAAAACCCATTTTCCTCAAATATTATAATTTTTATACATTTTTGATTGATGCATAGAACCTAACGTTCCTTGAATAGGACTATGGCTGAAGTTCCAATAAAAATTTTATGTACCATTCATCACTTTTTTTTCTGTATTCAAATGGAGTGGTCTTATCAACAACGATCTGTCTTTCCGCCATTTCTCTTTTGACTACTAGATTCTTTCTCTAACCTCTAAATTTTCTTTCTCTCGCTCTCTCTCTCAGCGTTTTTCTCTCTTTTCGTATAATCGTATTTGTTTTCTCTCTCGTTCTCACTCTGTCATTGTTTCTCTCTCTCTCTCGTTCTCACTCTGTCATTGTTTCTCTCTCTCTCTCTCGTTCTCACTCTGTCATTGTTTCTCTCTCTCTCTCTCGTTCTCACTCTGTCATTGTTTCTCTCTCTCTCTCTCGTTCTCACTCTGTCATTGTTTCTCTCTCTCTTTCGTTCTCGCTCTGAGATTTTCACGCACTCGTTCACCGTCACTTCCTTTCTGTCTCAATCACTCTCATTCTCTAATTAAGTTACTCACTATCATTAACTCGCTCGCTCATTCAGTCTCTCTCGTTAACTCGCTCTCTCGCACGCATTTTCTCTCTATGATTTTTTTTTATTTTTCTTTCTCTTTCTTTTGTTTATTCTTTTCCATCTCTCTTTACCTTTTTCTGTCATTTTCTTCTCTTCACTTTTCTCATTCCCTTTTTATTTTTGCACCACTTTTCCAATCTCTTCTTTTCTTTGTCTTCTCCTTTCTTTGCTTTCTTTCCCCATTCCTTTTCGCCTCACCCTTTTAATTTTTTTCTTTTCTTTCTTTTGAACCTTATCTTCCTGCTTACTCTAGAACCCACAACATCAACCATATTTCCTTCCTTACTCCTTCAAAAGAGTCCATTATGTCCACTTCGCGTTCAATATTTACCAACTGTAGCCGCTTGGACAACAAGACCCGGACGAGATAAGACCCTATCAGAGTGGAAAGCCTATCGGTACTTCATGTCCATTTCATCGCTATCTGAATACGTCCAGAGACTCTCATCCGCTGAAAAGAGTCCCCGATGTTCGGCCCGACAGGTAACGGGATGAATAACAAGAACACAAAGCTTGAAAACCTAACGGTGATTACTGTAGCTACTGAACAGTCGGATTTCCTCTGCCTGTCCACCTCATTGTCCATATCTGCCTTCCTTTGCAATTGCCAGTGCCTTGCTTGGTTGTAATTCGAGGTAATAACAAAACTTCAAGGATAGTTTTTATCTTTTGATTTCTACTTAATTCTGTTTTATCTCTTAAAAAAACAACATAAACACACACGCGGTCGGGTGTCGTTTAAGTTTTTTAGATTTGATTGACCGACTATCAAGAGTGAGGACAGGTGAACGAGAAAAAAATTAAAGTAAAATGTATGAACAATTACTGGTGTACATTTTTGACCGGCTTACATTGTTTGGTTCAGTGTAAAACACTTAGGTGATTTTATCCAATATTTTTTTCAGGAGTAAATTCTCATTTGCTTTTTATCGTTATACACCTTAAACCAGATTGCGTGGTCAACGCACACATTCTAGGCCAAAGGATTTCGAAGTAACGCCTAAAGATTGAAGGTTTCATGCCTTTTTCAAAACTAATTTACTAGCTTACTTCGAGCCGAAATAACTTTCTCTCCCGGAACGTTTTTATCATTATATTCAATAATAACGAAATTAACCTATTACTGCATACAATTTCCTTAAAGTTTTAACTCAATTTTGCTCACTTACCTTGCTGTCTATTGGTAATCTTAGGAGTTAATTAAACTAATGAATGTATGAAACTTACTAATTATTAAATCAATAAGGTAGTCCAAAACTTTTCGCCTATAGTGTAATTTTATAAAATATATATATATATTAATAATAATTAGGAAAAACCTTAAAAATCCATTGTCGGTAATAAATTTATTTTCGATCAATATAGGCATATTCATCTCCTCAGACCGCTCACTCTGAAGAGATGAATATGCCTATATTCATCGAAATAAATATATTACCGACAATGGATTTTTAAGGTTTTTCTTAATTATTAATATAATTGGCTCTGTATCATACATTGCGCTCTCAGATGAACTAAAAGTCCTCTTTGAAATAATCCCTACTAATTACAATTTTGTGTGTATATATATATATATATATATATAGAGAGAGAGAGAGAGAGATACCTTCATCTTGGTGTAATTTAAAGTTTGCCAAGGTGAGCAGAATTTTTTCAATAACGTGCCCAACAGATTTCTACAACAACAATAATAAATCCTATCAAAAATTATAAAAAGTGCAGAACACTTATAAAAGGTGGACTTAAAGTTCCACGATATTTCGCTCGTCATGCTCCAGACAAGAATATTTGTAATAATTATTAGTAGAATATGTTATTTTATGAAGTCACATGATATACGCAAATTTAAAATGTTCTACATTGACAATTTGGCGTATATAATAAGCATTTATAAAACATATATTCTGCTAATAATTAATATTCTTATCTGGACCCTGATAAGCGAAACTTCGGCCGTTGATGAGTATCATTAGCTTTTTATATTTTTGATAACTAACTAATATTTATTATATGTTGTACCAGCGACATAAAGTTTGTTTAAAAGATGCTTAAAGAAGACCGGCATTTCTTACAAAAACTGGGTAGAAGCGGCTAAGCACAGAACATTATGGAGAGAAAAAAATCAGTGAGGTCGTAACTGAATATGAAAGGGTACGCATCCAGCATGAACATCTGAAACGAGCCCACGAGAAAAACAATGATTAGGCTTTAATATTTGCAACAAATGACAAGGTTCTATTCCCGTGTAATCATTGTAATTGCATTTGTCTTTCAAATCTTGGTTTATTTCTCCGCATACGATCAATGACAATCGGGCAAGAATTCATTACTCTGCTGAAAATAAACCTCCATGGCCGGAAAAGGGTAAGACTGTCAAAAGCCGAGGTTTTATGAAAAGCAGACTGCCGGCGCTCAACCAGCAATTGTTACCCGCAACAATAATTCGGCATGTAATTTTATTTGGTCCGTCTGTTAATGTATATGTAAATCTTTCTCTGGACTTAAGTCATCTTCGTAAATATGCCGGGTCCATTCCAGCCGAACAATGATTTATTGTATTCATGACAACATTTCTGGCAAAAAATAATAAATAAACAAAAAATAGTATTGCTCGATAAAGGATAGACCGTTACCATATATATAAGATAAAACACGAACTGAAAAGTGAAGACGCGATAAATTAAAAAAAACACCATAACTTGCAGCAGAAAACACGAAATTATCCAAAATAGGGAAAATAAATTTTAAAAAGATCTTTCCCAAAGAACTTTTGTTGATCTTCAATCAAATTTGTATAGCTATTCAAATGCACTAATATATTCCTTAGTATGAGTAGATACCTGTTGATCAGTATTATGCTGTGATTTCAGCAGCAAGTAGGTTTATGGGGGTGGAGTTGTTAGCGCCACACCCATCTAGTTTTGAATTCAGTTATCCTTCTACTTTACTGGTTACTAGCCAAGGCTAGAGAGTTCAATCTACAATTCTGTTTAACCCGTTGCTGCAGGAAGAACAGATGGATATATACCTTCCTCAATGCTATTTTTGTGAAAGTGAATGCAACAACTTTGATATGCCGATCTCATTTTCTACGCTGATAACTGCTATACGACCCGCACGCACGAGGGACTGACATCCAGTAAAGGCATAAATCTACACCTGGTGGCTAGGAAGTCATCTTCCAGGTCAGCCAGATGATGCAACTGATTTCGCTGATGTTCTAGTGTAACAATAACTGCTAAGTATATTTTGGTATCTCTTAGGGTGAGCCCAGTACATATAGTGATCACTACAGATCAACACCTTAAATGTTCTTTATTGACATTACATTCGATTCAAACTATCTGGCACTTCTTGGTGTAAATCACATAGCACGGTGCTAACACATTCTAATCCCCAAATAGGACTGACGCACTGAAAGACAATAGCTATATGAGATTCACTTGAATGTCACGCCTCTTCCTAAAGTAAATTTCCCTTTTATCCTTGTATAGTAACGAGCATCACTAACCCAGTATCTAAGATTAGTATTTTACAAACTACTATCAATGTACCCTAAGCAGTCGGGAATGTTTCTGTTACAGTGATCTTTTTACTTTCTTTTATATGTTATTGAAAAATGGATGTGCTAAAATAAAATTATCTGATACCAGCATTAGTTCTGACCTGTATTCAAATAAAACATCAGGAAAAAAATTATAGCACTTCCTAACAGACCAATAAATGACTTTAAGTAATAAAATGCAAATGGCTTCAACTTCCGATATAAAGATGGCTGCGAAAAAGTTCGATCTCATAAAAATTAATGGAAAAGAAATTTATAATCGATACAAAATAAAAAGTATTCTAACATTTTTTTCACTACTGAAATATGACAAAATTAAACAGATGCTTTAATTTTATACGATATAATTCAAGAATATTTTATGAAATTTAAAATTCATTGGATTAACAGATATTTATCAGATTTGCTATTTTCTCTCGTGATGCCATCCAACGAAACAAGTCTTTTATGGGTTTTTATGGATAATTTCTCTATTTCACGATCAAAAATGGCCCAAACGTATTCAATAGAGTTTATGTCAAATGACTGTATTCAACATAAGAGTTAATTAGTCCTATCCAAATCTTTTTTGCATCCGAGAGCGCTATCCTCGATTTAAAATAATTGTTCAAATAGTAATTCTTTACCGCGTGGTGGTCCTCAGAGAACTAGATGTCCTACCAGGATTTGTTATTGGCGGACGCAATCTTAACAACATATGTAGATGACACAGTCTTGATATCAGACACAGAAACGAAACTACAGGAACCCCTACAGAAATTAATAAACGAAATTGCGAAAAAAAAAACTAAACATCAATTCTAAGAAAATAGAATATATAATTGTTAGCAAGAGGTGCAACCCAAGGCGCGAACTATGAATTCGAGATACCAAAAATCAAGCAAGTACGAAAATTAAAATATCTGAGAGGGGATTTAACAGGACGGAAAATGGGACACCGAAATCCGAAAGTACACTGGAATAGCGAGAGATACCTTCCAAAATCTGAGCAAAGAATTAAGAAATAGGAGAATTTCGTTAGGAAAAAAGAAAAGAGTGCTGAATTTATGTAATATCTTCACTCCTATATGAAAAAGCTCTCACAGACGAAGAAGAAACTTGAGGTAACAGAAGTGTGGTTCTACACACTTTTGTTACCTCTACAAAAGGATGCTGAGAATACCATAAAGTTGATAGTAACGAAGAAGTTTTAAAGAAAATGGAAACAAAAAGGGCGCTTATATTTCGCATAAAACGAGCTGAAATTTTCAAGACGCATAATGAGGAAAGAAGGTTTAAAGAATCGGATACCCACAGGACATAATGAAGGCAAGAGGAACAAAGAAACGCTGCGAATGACCTACCTAATAAGCTCGTGTAAATAGATGACAAAATCGAGACCTAGAGACATGGTGAAAAAACGAACCTTACTAAATGCTACAAAGGATAAGAAGTTGTGGAGAACCGTGACTACCCAAGACCTGCAGAGACACGGTACATTGAAGTTTTAGTTCACCCTGCAGAATTTATGTATTTCCTAGATTGATATCTCACACTTCTCTCTCTCTCTCTCTCACTCACTCATTCACAAACACACCTGTGACAAGTTTTGAACGACCAATTCTTGAAATTTTTTTATCAGATCTAAACCGAAAATCAGCC